CTTTATATGTGGCTATCAGCAAATGCTATAGTTGTTTCTGAAACTATATTTGAGTGCTTACCAGGTTTCTGCATAATACTACATGTAATTATGGTTATTAATGATTTATCCCTGAATCTATCATTTTCTTTATAAACAGTTTTCTTCCTTTTTTAACAGTTGCAATTCTGCCATGTTTTGGGTTCTTTACCAGACTGGACCAACACTAATTCCATTAGTTATGTTGAATCCTATAGTCACAAGTCACAATAATTTTACTTCATAAAAAATTGAAGCAGGTTTAGATAAAGCATCAGGGCACGCAATGCAAGCATAATGTTTAAGAGTTTGGACAGGCAAAGATGTCACTGGTGTGGGTGGAGCTATGATCTGTTAACAGGGGAGGGGCTAGCAAAAGTTCTCGATAAGGGTTTCATCATGTGACTTTTCTATGCAATCCATTCTTTGGGGGAACTCGTACACTAAATATCCAAATAACCTGCTCTGGCTGTGTCTCTGGAGCCCCGAAGCCTTATGCCCTCAAGGCAAGGCTCTTTCATGGCTGGCTGCACCTACAGTGTGTGACACGGAGATCTGTTCCTGGTGTAGTGCTGGGCTCGAGGGCACCAAGAAGGAGGATGTGAGCGCTCCCCGCCCTGAGTAGCCTGCATGGCTGTAAGGACTAGAAAGCGCTGCATCACCGCTTGTTGCTTTTGCTGCCCTCTGTCACCCGTGACCTGTATCTTCTCCACAGTGCCTGTCTGCCATGCTACCCTGCCCTGAACCAAGCTGTATATAGACTGAAACTGTTACAAATCAAGAGACAAGCAAACCTTCCCCCTTCAACTTTAGATGTTGAATACATTGTTTCAGCAAGGTGAAAAGAGCAAGCCAAGGATGTTCCCCTCTGACAACACATGTGCATGTGCACGTGCGTGCGAGCGCGCGCGCGCACACACACACACACACACACACACACAAATATGTGCAGACAGAATGATGGTGCCAAGAAGACGGACCAACGTGTTTGCACATAGATAATTAAGAAGCCCACGTAAGTCCTTGTGAGTAGCACCCGTGTGTGGGTGGCTGTGTGTGTGCACACTGTGTCTGGTCACAGTCCTTGCGTATGCATGTGTATATTTATCCATCTGTCCCCAACCACACTTCCTTTCATCTGTGCACAGCTGACCAGGACCCTGCAGTTCATGTATGTTGTGCCCTTGTGTTTTCTCAGTGCGCACATCCTTTATGCACTTCATTGTCCTGAACTGTAGATACATACCCTTAAACTTTAAGAATTATGCTCTGACTGGATGTTCTAGTTGCTTGACATTTTTTGGTAAGATCTACGCCTGTCACCGTGCATTGCTCTTCATTTATTTATCACTTCAGTCTAGGGTTCTGTTATAATTTATTTAGGCAGTTCTTTTCTATTTCTAGGCACTTTGATCTTTTCTCCTTCTTGGCCCAAAATTGCCTGAACGTGTTCATTCTAAGCAGCGAGCTAGAGTGAGGAGTTATGAAGCACAAAATTATTCCCACCTTGACTTTGCTAGATATAAAATTGGTTCTCTACGTAAGAATGGTGATTGACACTCCATCCCGCATGTTATGAAACTTGCAGTTTATTTACATCTTCGAGAACACGTGATTGTGCCTGGCTTTTCAGCAGGATGGCAAAGTTTGCGCCGTGGTCGGATGACAGGACGCTGAGTTTGTGTAATTTTGAGTTCACCCTCTAAGAAAATATCTGTCTTGTTTCCATGTAAGTCAGCTTGAGCTCCGACCCAGCCAGTCCAGCCCCATGTCTTGTTTGGAGAGCAATTTGTGAGATAAATATTTGCCTAAGATCTGTAACCTCAAAGGTGAAGAAGGGCTGCCACACCTTTGCCCCCGGGGGGAGTGGTATGGGGTGAGGAGCGTCTGTGGGACAGCACAGCCGAGTCAGGCGTGCTGCAGACCGAATGACTGCAGTTTCTCTCCTCTCTGGAGCTCCAAAGCAATATAATCTCCTTCATACCACATTAGTGCTCTAGCTCTTGGCTGACGTGGAGGGAGTTGAGGTGTAAGTGGGGAGCATCTACAATCGAGTTAGGGAATCCCATGCTTTAGAAGGGGATGTGAAAGCTCAAGCAACTGATGGGGATGTAGAGGTGTGGCTGTCTTCACAAGCAAGAGAGGGGATATACGTTCATCCGAGGAAGTCATGGAAGAAGCTTCCTCTCACCACTGATTTCATAATGAATCTGTATCAGACTTCTCTGCTAGGCTGCACCCTAACCCATCCCTCTTACTAGTAAGCAATCTGACTTCTCACAACTCTTAAAGCCTTGGGAATGGGCCACAGTTTACTGGCCTCCCACCTTCCCTCCCAAGTCCTGAGCCACTGTATCTCACATCCGGGTAACCGCAGGCTCGGGCAAGCTAGCTTAACAGCAGTGCTGGAAGTAACTGTGAGGACCTCCCTTTACTAGAAAGCCTAACATTTGCTAGGGTGAATTATGAAATATTTCTCATTGATCTTACGTCCTTACTTTCACGTCTACGAAAGCGCCTGTGATTCAAATTCCATTTCCAGCCCCTCCTTCCAGTAGTTTTGCCCGTAGTTTATTGCTGTTCCTCCCATGAGTGCAAATGGACGTGAAGGTTCCTGCTGCTTTTGCGGGAGCCCTGTTGGCTCTGCACATTGGTGGCTCGCTCTTCCTGGATGTGCCTCTGCTGTCTCATGGGCCCCTGGAGACCCCTAGGAAACATCCTTTTGGGCCTCCCTTGGCCAAAAGAAAGGTAGCCTTTTCAAGGTGTGAGTCATACTCGCAGTGAAGGAAACAGAATGCATACCCAAGCTAGCTTAAATAAGTAAGCAAATAAGCGAGTAAAAAAATATCAACTTGTCACTGAAAATCCCAAATCTGGGGTAGACACGGAACATATTTTGTTTCCAAGGTTTCTGACAAAGTCACTGTACTGTATCGCTGTCTTTCTGGACCTTGCCTTTTCTGTTTGCTTTGCACTAATTTTATTTGTACACATGATTTTTCTCCATAGGTACAGAAAATGGCCTCCCCAGCTCCATTCTGAGCTTGGGAACAAGAGCAGAAGAGCCTCTGTCTTGGTCAGTATCTGGCTGACCTTATGAAGGACTAGGCAGGTCCTACCTGGGTTACACACCCGCTGCTTGGATGATTGCAGTCTCGCTTATGGACTGTGTTACTGTGATGAGCTGCTCCAAGCCTGGGTCTGGCCCTGTGTCTGAGGCGGTGTTCAAGTGTCATGACTGAAAGGCCCACCAGACACCGGGGGAGAAGCTCTATAGTGGAAGTGGTGGTTGTACCACACACAGGCAGCGAGAGAGAGAGAGAGAGAGAGAGAGAGAGAGAGAGAGAGAGGAGAGAGAGATTGGGGGGCTTACACATAGGCTGATTTGCCCTTGTTTGCAGTACATGATCACATTCATCGTGTAGAGTTGGAGCATGTTCGTAACACATCTCAATTCTTTTCATGTTCCCCTCCCTCCCCTCCTTCTGTCCTCCCTCTGCCCTCCCTCTACCTCTTGTTCCTCTTCCTATTTATGGAATTAAACATTGTCCCTCTGTGCCAGAATGGACATTTAGAAAGTTCTAGAATTAAGAACCCAGAAAGTCCCTCTTCCGAGGGAACTTAGAGCTTGGCGCTAAGTGTGTTCACCTGTTTGGAGAACTTGTTTTGGAGCAACAGGAGCTTGAGCAGAGCAGGCTCCAAGTTCCAGTTGGGCCCCAGAGACAGCACCTCTCTGCCTGTCCAGCCATCAGGTACTGATGTCCACGCACCCCCAGTAAGTCCTGAACCCTAAATGCACACGTGAGCGCAGGCACTCCCTCAGGCTTCCGCTCCCACTGCCTCCTCACTCGGAAGTGAAGTGGGTGCGCTTCTCTTATGCGCTATAATCTAAGTCCCAAGTTCCAAGACTCAGTAACGTCTGTGTGATTCTCCTCAGGTCCTTTTGGGTTTTGGGGAGAGCTTTGACTTTTCTGCCTTTCTTTCAGTCAAACTCCAATATTTTCCCCTGAAATTGTTATCTTTATTCATTGTCAGTCTTTACAAGTCAAAACACTCATATCCTATGGTCTATTGCTGTACACACATCCAGCTATTGTACCTAGAGGTAGATGCACACTTACTCAGAGCACACGCTTCACAGTGGATCTGGAGGGGGGTCCCAGAAACCATTCTCGTTGGGTAGGTGTGTGTGCCTGGGGTTTGGTGAGACCAGGGGGTCCACTCAGAAACCCAGACCCAGCTGCTTCTACTTCTGGAGTTCACACTCTGCAGAAACAACATCAGCACTTTGTCACACTGAGGATGTCACTGAGCAGGGTCCCTGGCCAGAGGACAGCCTGGGGGAGGCCACACTGGATCAAGGCGGTCTCCAGAGTCACGCAGTGAATGGGAGTTGTCCTGGCCACTTAGGCAACGTATAACCATGTAGTTGGTGTACGCCAGCAACAGCACCTCCTCTTTCCTATAATTCTTCACTGCACTGTGAACCATAGCACAGGCCAAGCGGCCTGCAGGCTGCAAGCTGGCCACACCCGGAAGGAGGCATCTCGGAAATGAACAGTTCAGGAAATACTGACGTCATTGCTGCTGCAGGAGTTAAGTGTCCTTGTTTTATTGTTTCATTCACTGAGCTGTGTGGACTCTTTTTAGCTTCACACCTGTGTTGTGCAAAGACTAAGCAACTGCGAAGCACTTTTATTTTATTAGAAATACAACAAGTACATATATGGCTGTGAAGAATTTCCTCAAAATACACTCTATGACAGAGCACCTTCTTTTCAAGTATTTTATTCTGATTCACAGAACACTTTTCAGGCTTCCTGCTGAGGGAATCGGGGGAGAGCAAGGCGTTTCCACGCTATGTGATTTACCAAACACAGCTGTGAGGCAAGCTTGGCATGTTTCCGCCACATTGTATAGACATTTCTGACTTGCCACCAGTCCGATGTGTTCCAGTGACAAAATGAATTCTGCTTAAGAGCCAGAGACGTAATGACCACTCTATATTTTATTTCTAAACATACATGCTGATGTCAAACATCACAGAAACCATAAATCTAAAATGAAAACACCAAGATAGATAATGCGCTTTAGAAATTAAAGAAGCAGTTGATTCTTCCCCAATTAGGAAAAATCTGGCTAAACAGGTGGCGTCTGTGCTGAGCCCTGAGGCTACCTGACGTAGCTTTCCTGGGCTGTGACAGGTGAGGCGTGACCTTGTCCTCTCCTTGTCACCAGCATGGAATGCTCCACTGGCTGAAAGAGTCGAAAAAATAAAGTTTTGAGAGCAACTTGAGAGACCAACAGGAAAATCCACCACTTCTGACTGCTCATCCCAGATTAAGTCATCAACCAGAAAAAGAACTAACTTAGAAGCAGTTCTCAGTAGCTGCAACATCTCATCTTTACCTCAGGTTTCCTGATGCTGCCTTCGTCAGTGACGTGGTATTTGCACTTGCCAAAGCTCTGGTTCTAAAGCACAAACGGGCTTGCTGCAGCCCCAGTCAGAGTGTGTGCTGGAAGGTCTCATAGTTTAGCCAGGGCATCTCCAACACTTCAGGGTAATAGAGAACTGAAAGAAGCTGCATAACAGCTGGACGAAACTAAGGCTTTTGAGAGCCCCCAACCTATGGCCCGCCTGCTGTCTGTTTTTCTTTTGAGAAAAAAAGATGTTGATATATAAATTGTTTTATCTAAACTAAAACCTCAGTATTCAGGTTTACTTGCAGAGTAGGCACTTCAATAAATAAGGGGGATTTGGCTTGGGTTTGCCATCGCTGCTCTAGAAGAATAACTGTTGATTTTTTTAATCATGCAAAAGTGCTTTTGTAAATCATTACTTACCGGAAATCACGGAGTACTTGACCCCCTGCTGAGACCCAATTACCAAACCCCAACGCGAAGCGGTGAGTTTCCAGGTGAGCAGGGGCCTAGCTGCGGGCCTAGCACACACGTCGTGCTTCGTTACTCATTCATAGGTTAAGAGGACGTGTTTGAAATCAAAACCATATTAGGAAGGTTGACTGATTATAAACATGTAATCGAATTTGCCATTAATATATTAGAAAGAGATTGCATTTTCAATGGAAAAGAATATTCCTCGTTAAAATTACATGTTCAGATAAAATGGAATTGCTATAGTTTGGATTTCGAACGTCCCCAAAAGCCCATGTGTTGAAGGCTCAGTCCCTAATCTAAGGGAAGCGGCAGAAACTTCAGTGGCCCTTGTGGGGGGAAGTGACGTCATGGGCCCTGGCCTCTTTCTGTCTTTTCCTTTGCTTCTTGGAGGAACTGAGCAGCTTCCTGCACCCACCACAGGGGGCACTGTTCAGTTCTGCCAGTCATAGCCCCTGACTTCTTGAAGCTGTGTGCAAAAGAAATACCCTTTTCCTTAAAACTCTACTGGCTCAGGTCTTTCGTCGCAGAAGAATTCTGATTAAAACAAGATACTTGTGGATATTAACTTTCGGATTTTTTCTTTCAGTACTATGTACTGAACTCAGGACCTTGCACTTGCCAGGCAGGCACTTACAGTGCTGAGCTTTATCACCAGCTCTAACTTTCTGATGTTTTAAGTATTTGATATGGAAGTAGAACCCAATTCCGACATCTAAGGTAGGCTAAGGTTAGGGTCCTACTTCAACTACTTTTAGTAGAAAGAAATACGAAGTTTACAGTACGTGGATGAAAGTAGGAAAACAATACCGAAAGAGCTTGCCTCTCATTAGAATGCACTGGAGGGTGAGCAAAAAATCTCCTGCACCCTAATTCGCCCTCCTGCCTCTGCCAGGCGAGCAGCGCATGGGGACCGCGTTTAAAATCAGGTTGAATGGAAACAGAGAGTGTCCCCGGTCTAAAACAAATGACACTAAGCTGGGACACTGAAGCCATCCGTGATTGCAGTAACTCAGGGCAACCAGATAATCATTTGACACAGAGCAGGACTTCCAAACATTGGGTTCTGTTCAATTTTCTCTTGAATCCTTGTCTTAGTTGGATTTTTAGGTAGATAAAAAAGCAATATTCCTTGCTTTCAATAAGTTAAATAGATGTCCCTTGTTGCCAAAATATCTAAACACATCCTAGCTTCTACTTAAGCACTTAGAAATACCTGGGAAAAGAAGTCACGAGATAATAAATGTACGTAGAGCCATATTAGAATCTGAGCCTTTTTAATATTAAAGACCCAAACAAAACTGGAAGGGCAGGGCGTACGTGATTGATGTAGCGAGTGAGCACATGTCATTATAATCCATATGGTACCATCGCATTTTATACAATTCAAAACTGCCTGTGGGGGTGTGCATCCAACTCTGGAGGGGAGCACTGCTGGGAAGAGGGAGGATAAGAACAGGTTTGCTTTTCATTTTTTAGCTTTAGTTCCACCAAAATGTTTTCAGTTGGCCTTGTACTTTACAAATGTAAAGGATTTATAATTTAAATGTTACATATGGGGTGAAGGAAATCTAGTTATTTGCCCATTTGCAGGGACTCTCTGGCTGTAGTTGTCCTCACAGCTGCATTTTAAATCAGAAACCCGCAACAATGTATGCTGAGGAAGGAAGACACTGCCTCGTGAAAATGTGGCGTTGCATTATACCATCAAAGACATCTTCCAGTACTCAGGGTGTACATTATACATCTATTCCCGCATAATGCTTGCATACATGTATATAACGCATTCATTAAATGTCGGTATGCAAATGCTCATTATAAATATGCAATCCATGGGAACATAACATTAAAACTAAGGCAATGTGGAATATCATGATTCAAGAGAACACAGGAGTTGTAATTCTTCAAATATAACCCAAAAATAGTTTTTATATAGAAGACCAAAATAAAAACTGTACAGCCCATCCCTACATTGGGAAACTCAAAAGGGGGAGGCTATGAATTTTGTTCTGAGGCTTTGTGTGGGAAGGGTGTCTCTAAGCAGGTCCATAGCAAGGGCTTCCAGTGTGGCAGGGCAGACTGGAAAAGCCACCTAAGTGCAGTGATACTATTTGTGGGAACTGGACACTCCAGACCTTCAGAGTCCAGAAGTACAGACGACAAACACCAGCTCCCTTCGTGGGAACATTCATGAGAATCGGCACCACTCCCACGTTAAGGTGTTGATTCTGGAGCCCCTGAAGACTGTGAGAAGCACAGGTTTGAGTCAATGTCTCTGAGCCCCTGGGGTCCCTCTGAGGCTGCACCCACACTCATGGCAGTGCCTTCTCATGCTGGAACTTTGGCTGTATTTTGAATCACAGATTCCATCTCCCAGGCGGTCACTTCAGGGTTGTGCAGGGTGTGACGGTCACAGTGAGTCCTTTGGTGTCCTCCAGGGCCCCAGGAGTATGAGGCAGGAAACCTCTCAAGACAAACTCAAATTTGTCCCCAAATACTGACTTCTGTCCCTAAGTCAAGTGCCCCGACTGGGTCCGCCACCAGGGCCTCTGCCATTGCTGGGATTCCTCCTCTCTCAAGGACTCTCCTGTGCCAGAGACCCCTGCCATTGTGCTGCCTGCCCTTTCCCTTCTCTGCAGTGCCTTAAATACCTCCCATGATGAGCCTGCGGGACAGGGCTGAGGGAAAAGCTCAGATCCCTCCAGAAGATGCTGAGGGCTGGGTGACCTGCTCTTGGAGTGCATCTGGCTGTCCTCCCTCAGATGGTCCTGCACAAGCCCAGGTGTCCCCTGGACTGCAGTGGGGGCCCCACCCTCAGAGTTGGAGCTGCCCACAGGCAATTCAGCAGGCCTAACTATGCAGTTACTCCACAACTCAGGAGCACACACTCCTGGCTGTGGCTGCTGGACAGTGACAAGCTGTCTCCTCTCACCACAGTGAGTCCCACCGACAGAGAGTCCCTGGTACAGGTTCTGAATGCCAAGACTGGCTGCATACAGCCTGGACTTGTTCTTGCCTACAGATGATGGTGTCCCATGGCACTTGGTGAATCAGACTCTGAACAGCTCTGTAACATGTACCACATGTGATGAAGATCCATCCTCTCTCTCTCTCTCTCCACTGGAAAGGGTACTGTGCAGTACTGGTCCTCGATTTGGCAGAGGAGGTACTGTGCTGATGCGCCTGAGATCAGTGGGTCTCTAGATGCCTGTTTGCAGAGGCGTTGGTAAGACTCACTCTCTTGCTGAAGCCTGCATGGATGTACTGAGCCTCCAACCCACGCTTGCTGCTTGTGTGTCTCATCGAATCAATTGTGCAACATCTGGACGGTCAGGATCCCTCAGATCATGAGAGACAGCAAGAGAGTCCACAGTGCCCCAAGGAGAGACCAGCAACGGACACCACTGTCCTTCGGCCTCTCACACATGAACTGGAACTGCACCTCACCCTACTTCTTACAGGAATGGGAAAGAGGGGATAGCAGGGGCCCGCCACCTGGTTTGTGTCCCCTGGCAAATGTTTGGTCAGGCACAGCAGCCACAACAAGGATGGCCGCTTGGTTGCATTCTTGAAAGTCTACCAGAAAGCCCCATGCTGTAGCTGAACTTTGTAAATTAAATGGAAACAACAGACTATGGGGCCAATGCCTCTGCTATCTTTTCATGGGGTACCTCAGGTCCCCTCATTCCATGGGTTCCTGAGATGAGGGTTCCCTTGGTCTCCATCCAGGATGCTGCTCCTCCTGATCCTTAGGGCTGGTATCTCCACAGTGCTTTCATCCTAAAGTTGTCTGGCCTGGTGCACCTTCACAGAGGCCATGGCCAAGCTCAACATGGTAAAATGGAAACTGCCTTCTCAAACACAAACTCCTCTCCCAGCCTCACTGACAGCCTCACAGACGTTATCCAGAATCCAGAGAACCCTTTCCTCCGCTCTCTCACCCACAGTTATCTACATTGCCAGAAACACTAGTGCCACAGAATCGCGTTCAAAGTTTGCATACTTTCCTCTGTCTGCTCCGTCTGGTTTGGCCTGACTGCACATCCTGCCTCCCGACTGGCTTCCCTAGCATGGTGCTGGGGTCTGAAATCTGCACAGAATCACCCACGTCTGTGTTCTGCACCCACTCCAGCTCTGTCCTCCCACCCCTGACCTTCAGCCAGCTCCTAAAAGTGCAGCCCACAGCCCCTGTGCAGGAACACAGCCTTTACTGTGACTGCAGTGGACTTTTTCATGGCTTATGTGAGAAGTGTTTGCTGCGCACGGAGAGCACAGGGAGCTGCCTGCTCTGCCTCCCCATCTTCCATCCCGCAGGGGGAATCCAGCCAAAGCTCACCCATCAGGCGTTACATCTGCTTGTGCAGTGCAGTGGAGGAAACACAGCCAATGCTAGCACCAGCAGTGCAGCCTACCTACAGCGTGCACCTGTGTAGACAGCTGTTTATTGTCCTCAGTGGGCAGGAAAAGTTTTGTTATTTAGCTATTAAAATTGGGACGGGGCAGGGAGATGGTTCAGTGGAATACGTGCTTGCCTGGAAAGCGCAGGGGCCTGAGTTCAATCCCTGGTTCCAATAAAAAAAAAGTGGGGAACTGGAGAGATAGCTGGGCAGTCCAAGCGCCTGCCTGGCAAGCACAAGGTTCTGAGTTTGATCCCTAGTACTGTAGGCCATGCCAGCCCCAGAACCAGACATGGTGGTACATGCCTATGGTCCCAACACTGGGAAAGCTGAGACAGGAGGATCACTATGAGTCCAGGCTGCATAGTGAGGCCCTTACCAAATAAACAAATAAAAAACGTTTTAACAAAATGAGGGTCATTGTAGTACTTTGACTTAAAGTTGCAATAAGAGTATTTTTGTCGCTTCCAGGCACTGACTGACCCACACACTGTGCTGCTCTAGGTCCTGCGCTCGGGCCAGACAGAGGTTCACACACCCAGAAGCCAAGTCTGCCCTTCTGGGTATCGAGGGTTCAGGGGACATAGTGAGGAGGAGGCGCTGCTAAGCACAGGGGAGTGGCATAGGATGCGGCTCCTATGTGTGCTCAAGTCTGACTCTGGGGTGAAACAAACCCTTTAGCTCTTAGGAACTGGACTCGTGAGTCCTCGGACAAGCTGTGAACCTCTTTGCCTCCTTCTCCAGCAATGGCCCGCATTTCCTTCCTCGTAGTATTTTTGTGAGAATTAGATGCAGCAACACTTACAAAATCTTTAGATTCTATGAGACTCGGGGCACTTTAATTTGGTTGTAAGGAAGGCAGGAGCCTCGCTTTTGGCTGGAGTGCATCTACAGAGTCAGCCGTATCCATCTGCAGGGTTCAAGGTGTGAGCCAGCCACATCGCCTTGGGATTTGGATGAGGTGTAAGCCGAGGCTGTGATGAAAATGACTGCTACTTAGTGCAGAGAGACGGTGCAGAGAGGAAGGATTAGGCAGGTGTAAGATGTGGTGTGGGGACGCCACCACTTCAGGTTGGTGGGCCTCCCTGTCCTGCACGGCCGCGGCGTGTCATAAGTCCACATGTTCTTCTCTCTGCTTGAAAGATAGTGTGGGTGCTGGGCAGAGAGGCTGCAGGACTAATTCTCAGTCTCAGAGAAGCAGACAAGGAAGGTAATCTAAGAACTGGCAGAAGAAGAAGGGAGAGCTGCTTCTTTTGCTAAGACCAGAAAGGAGCAGAGAAGGAAAAGGACAGATGAAATGAAGTGATTGGATGTGGGGAGAGGGCATTTACTTGGAGAATGTGGAGCAAGGACTCTCAAGTAAGTGCAATAGGATTCTCAGGAAAAGTGATGAAGCTTGGGGTGGCATCCAAGCGCCTATGGCCCACCCTGGAACCCTGATGCCCAAGGTGACAGTATTAAAAACTGGGGCCTTTGCAAGGTGACTCAGCAGTAAAAGTGGAGTCTCAGTGTCTGGGGCTGGGAATCTGCCTTTGTGAAAGAGTCCCCAGAGAGAGTCTCCTTGCTGTGCCCTTCCTCAGTCAACAGGAGTGAGAGAGAGACAGCACTGTGGCCGAGGGAGCTGCCACCAGGATCCCAAGTTTCTGATCCTTGATCTTGGACTCTGAAGCTCTAGGACAGTGAAGTGCATATACCTTTGTGTATATATATCCCTGAGTTTGTAGTATTTTGTAGCAGCTACAATGGATAAGATACTCAGAGTATCCCGAGAAGAAAAGAGGAAGCAGGCAGTGCAGAGGTTTAGGACAATAGCAGCGGAGCCCCGAGGCACAACCTCTGGTCCTCACAGGTCTGCGTCTTCCAGAAGGGCTCTGCCGGAGGAGCGGTGCTGGGAGACTTGGCCCTGGGAGGCAAGGAAGTCACCGTGCACTCTACTGCATCAGCCTCACCAGCTTGCTGTCCTGTTCCAGGGCTGGGCTGTAAGGCCTCAGACCTTGGTACTCCTCTCCCTGGAACCTCACTGAGCTTGGTACTGGACACACTGTGCCCTGGTACACATCTGGGACAGGACTCAGAATTCAGAGGCCGTCGGTGTTGGCTGCCTCGCCCCAGGCACAGCACTTGCTTTGCTTCCCTTCATTTTGGGTGCATGTTATACCTCCCAGAACCAGTTCACGGTGAGGCTCAAGGTGCCACCTGGCACAAGCACAGTGTGACTCTGCCCTTTGATGGTTAGTTTTTCCAGGCCTAGAACTGTGTCCGTCCCTTGTAAGTCCTGGGAAGACTTGGCACTGACAGAGACCTGCCTACAAAGGAAACTTGCAGTTAGAAAGAATTAAAGTACCTTTTGCTTCATGGAGTGGGGCTCGTAGGAGCTGGAAAGGTGCGAGAACAAAGAACGAGTTCTGAGGGTTGGAGAGAGGAGAGGGCATGAAAGGGGCCGAGATGTAAGCATGGGAGGCAGGAAGCGAGGGAAGGAGGAGGGAAGGGAGAGAGGGAGGGGGGCAGGGAGCCAGGGACAGAGGAAAGGAGGGAGGGAGGCAGGGAAGGACTTCAGCTGAGACCGAGACAAGGATGAGGCTCCCCTTGGGCTGCACCGACCTCCAGCCAGGGCCTGCTCCCAAAGCGATTCCCTGGGAGAGCAGATGCAGCTCTGCTGGGGCTTGGGTCTGGCCTGTCCTGGCCCGACCTGGCCTGGCCATCAGCAGGGTCGTGGCTCTGCCTAGGAATGCAGGCAGAACTCAGGGCAAGTTGCTTTCTATCTGCTCAGCACTGGACGACAGGAATGATGGGGGCAGCCCAAGCCATGACGTCTGAGAGAACAGCCTGTACTCGGGCAGCTGTAGCGAATCCTTCGACCCATAAACCATTGCCCAAGATTACAGGAAGTGTTTGTTTCTCAGTTCATCAGCGTCTTCTTGCTTGTCTCCTCCCTTGCTTCTCTCTCTGGTTCTCTCTTGCCTGTACTTTTACCTCTCATATTTTTTTATTTTCAATCTTCCCTTTCCCTTCCTCTGTTTCTCCTTCAAGAAAAAGAGAGCAAAAAGTGACAGTCAAGGGCAGGGGTGCCACAAGGCCCAGCGCCATGCTGCTTGAACCCCTATTTCACCACGAAGCCCCTCCCTGCCTGGTTGGATTAGAGATGAAAAGCAGAATTGTACAGAGAAAACAGTTTGAACCACAGGCAGCACTGGAGGAGTTTCAGGGTTAGGAGAAACCCTGAACTTGAAATTCTTTGCCATTGACTACATGTGTGACTTCTGGCAAATTCCTCAGTCTTTCTGAATCTCCTAATTTTTATTTCTGCAATGCCAATGTTACTTCCTGTGGTGAACAAAAATGTGTACCTCACTCTGATTCGGACATGATAGTTATTTACATGGCGGAGACATCTTCCAGAAGGTAACCAAGTACTGAGATGTGGAAGCTGAGTTTGGAAAATCATCTTAAATTGGGCAGAAGCACTCGCTGTAGTCACTCAAGAACTTCACAGTGGGGCTGAGGACATTGCTCGTGGGGCACTCCTGCTTAGCAGCTGCTGAGCCCTGGGCTCAGTCCCTTGTACCAGTGCCACCACCATCAAAATAAAGTAATAATAATAATAATAATAGTAATAATAATAATAATAATCTGAATGGAGGGCAGAAGACTATGTCAGAGAAACTGAGCACTCTCTGTGATAGTCATGGCTTGAAGAGAGAGGCCGCATCTTCTGGAAAAGCCTCAGGATAAAGTCTGGCTGTGATCAGGAACCCCAGGCCCAGCTGGGGGCCACATCCTCAGGTCACACTGATTCCAGCCTGCTTAGATGCCGAGCGCACAGCCTGGCCATGCTCATGGCTTCAGATCTACAGAGACTGCAAGGTGTCAGATGTGGGAAGGTGAAGATGCCGAGACTCTGGTCATCTGGTCATCTGTGGGGGCAGATGTATAGACGGTGGGTACAGCACACGGCACTGCAGGAGCAGGGGATTCCTGGCCAGCCTAGTTTCAGAGTAGATAAGTCACAGGCATTTCACCACGTGGCTACAGGGCACAGAAAAAAGATTCAAAAGAGCAGTGGAAGATTCAACGCTAGTATTAGTGCTGAGCAGACTGAATGGGACGTGGTGCCCTGGCTGTGGGGTCATGATGGGGTGGCTAACAGTTTTCTCCACAGGTAGATTCATGCTTCTAGCTACAAACAGAGCAGAATGGCCACAGGCTCCCTTGGGAGGGGAAGTGGTACTGCATACCACATGTGTGAGAAGAAACTGAACAGCAGCTTTCTCGGGAGTAGGCAGGTATGAGAGAGAGGCCTCGTGCTTCTGATCTCACTAACCAGGTTGTACTTACCCAGCAGGTGAGGGGAGACTCTTCCAGGAAGGAAGATCATCCACACAAAGACACCCCGCAGTAGAACCTCCTTGTGTGTAGTGAGCCCAAAGTGACAATTGCTAGGTTTTCTTGGCACCGTCGAAGTCCCTGGGTCTTTCATACGGCCCATCACAGCGTGGTCTCACCCAAATCTGGTCCTACTTTCTCACTTCAACCCCCTTATCCTGTGCCTAGGCCTTGAGGCCGCCTTTCCCTGCCTGACAAAGTCTGCCCTCTCCAGCTTAGTACCTTCCTGGAGTGGCCAGGCCCTTGTCTCCTCTTCCAAGTCCTTTGGGGTCAGCACGTGAGTTGAGAAGCTTAGAACCAGGGCTACTGCGCTCCTCCTTCAAGTGTAGACCTAGGCAGTACAGTAGAAAGCCAGGTAGGTGGACGCTCAGAAGGCTGAGTGAGGTGGGGTCCTCTCCTCTCCGTGTCGGACCCTCCAGAGCACTGAAGGGGTTCTTATTCCTAGCACTTAACTGGCAGCAGCAGCAGCCCCAGCAGGAGTTACCCAATTTTAAAGCACAAATAAAATCAAATTTTATAATTTTATTATAAAATTTTTGCTAAAAAAAAAGGCTATTTCTCATAATATAACTTGGTACACAACTTGCCACAAAGTTTTCGGTGGTTAGATTTCCTGGCTGATACAAATAACATGGTTGTAGAATTACATAATGAGAATGACTCCATCTGTGACATCAGGACAGATCTGATAAGAAAAGGGGCATGACTGCAAAGGGAAGTTCGCGATGGGGATTTCCATGCTAGGAAGTAAGAACTGGGTAGGACTGAGGCAGCTCTCCCTGGAGAATTCTAGACACACACACACACACACACACACACACACACACACACACATATACACACACGTGCGTGCATGCACACCGGGGTGCCCAGGAATCCCCAGCTCAGACAGCCACTGACCACAGGTCAGGCTGGTGCTGCCCGGGTTACACTTTGATGCTTCTCTTTCCCAGCTGGTTACAATTCTAGCAATTACATAACATCTGAGCTGCCTATTTTTGTTATCTGTGTGTGAGCAGGGAGTGAGCTCAGATGTGGAAGGAACTAGGAATAGTGATTATATATCTGTATCTTTCTTTCTATCTAATAT